AAAGGTAAGATTTGCAACTGGTCAAATTTGGCACTATCTTCAGGTTAATGGAGTGTTTCTGTAGGTGTGATCTTGCAAATACCTCCTTCAAGGAAGCTTGGACAATTCCCTTGTGAAACAAGGCCTTAATCATCTCCCAAATCCAAGAGGCCAATCCTCCCTTAGCTGCTGTGTTGTAAGCCAGAAAGAGCAAGGGTTGCATAAACAGGTAGTCGGCCACACTCCAAGCACCTTGCTTACACCCCCCAGCTGCAATTCAGCCAAAGAAACAAAATTACATAGTACCCCAGATACATTCTGAGACTGATTTGCAAGCCAGATCCTGGTACACAATCCTGCTTTGTAGGAGGCATTCAAACCACAGTAACCAGGTTTGGACATCAAAGCAACAGCAGTTTAATTAAGCTTGGCATGTGAGGGAGCATATGAACACACAACATGTTCCCTCTCTAAGACCTACCTTCTGAAATATCTAAAACTATATTAAAATATTGTCTAAGAATTAAAATACATTCCTCTAAAGGCTTCCAATGTTTGGGAGAGGGGAGAGAATATGTCCATTTGGTAGTGAAAACTTCAACAGTAGCTATAAAACATTTACAAATGTCCTACGTGGAATCCAAAACAAGAGAAATCAGTCTCTGTCATCTGTTAGAATATACTGGACTGTGAATCTAAGAGAAGCAGCGAGTAGAACAGTCACCACTCTCTTTTCCAGAAGTAACAAATTGTTCTTTGAAACAAGGTTTGTGTTTGTGGTATCTTGCAGGTTTCTTGGAGCATGAAAATCTCACAATGCTCTCTGATAAAGGTCCACGTTACTCTCCAGTACAGGAGTGGGAAACCAGAAGACCTAATACAGTTCCCCAGGCAAATTTTTCTGAACCCTAACACCTCACCAATTTTGGCAGCAGTAGGGAACATGAAAAAAATGAAGTAGGCAGAAAGGTTTAAACACAGCACCCTAATGAGGATGAGAATCTCAACCTCATGGTCACCAGACATGGGATGATAAGCCATTTTTTTGCTGATCTGTACTGAAGAAGAGATGTGTGCCCAAGTATGTGAATTTATGAGACAGGATTTGTGGAAAAAGTGGGTGGCATATAACCCCTCCAGGGAGATAAACAAATGTGAAGGTGGGCAAAAACAATTAACTACCCCAGTTCTAATACATCCTTTAACACTGTGGTGGGAGGAGTTAACTGAATGTTTTTAAAATTAAAATTTAATACAGTTTAAATGAAGAAATCATTAAATGGGGGAAATGTTAATTTTATGGCTCTGGGTTAACATACAGGTTAAAATAGTTATTTAACTATTATTGCTCAAATACACAAGAACAATTCTAACCTAGTAATCCTAGTCAGAAAATACAACTGAATATACATTTAAACATTTTTGAAAGGGGCATGAAGTGAAGCAATTGTAGCTAACATATGCTAAGAATGGACTATCATGCCTGAGTTTACTAAGCCAAGATATACACGGGCCTTTTCCTCACACACATAGCTGCTTTGCTTGAGTTGCAGTTAAACCAATAAATGTCTCAATTAACCATACAGTCCCAATCCATCTGAACTGAGGAAGTATGGTAACCAGCTCTGAAACAAGCCAGGATGTAAAAACAAAAAATGGTTTAATATCCTGGCTTATTCCAAACCTGGTAACAGCTGGTTGAAATGTGTCCAAAATAACTGCTAGCCTATACAGCAACTCTTAAACTGAAAAATTATTATAGGCCACAATGTTCCTGCAGAGCTAAGAAATAAGATTTAAGATGGAAAATTATTAAGATTTGAAGTCTTACAAGCACAAGGACGCACAATAATTACAGGGACTATTCCACTGCACATGGAGCAAATCAGGGTTCATTTTATCGCCTTCATTCTCCAAGGCCAGTGACAAGCTCTCTAGGTCCAGTCTATCAGTAAAGTGTACACTGAGTTCTTTTAACAGCTGAACCCGTTTCAAGGCGGTGATTTGCCAGACCAAGTTGCAGAGACCCAAAATCTACATATTGGGTTTTATATACGAGTCAGCTTATTAGGCCTCTGTTTTTAATATTATAGTAGAGTGAGTGATATTGGAGTCTCATTCTGTGGGCCTCCATTCAGTTAGTGAGACAGCAAGGAAAACAATCTGGCCAAACCTTGTTGAAGAAAGGGTTCGGCATACATGACTTTCTACTAGTCCAGGGAAACTGTGAAAGTGCAGATTAGGCCTTCAGCTAAATTTTCAAGTCACCACACTCCTTTTTGTCCATTATTGTCTTCACTATGCTGCAATGTTAAACACTAACTTTGCAGTTTCTTCTACCCTCCTCAGCAATTAAATGAAGTTAGGTCTTAATGACCAATAACTGGGACAAAATGTCTCAGATTCATTTGGGTTACAATCTTTACAATGTTAGGATGAACTCCTGGCACAGACTTGCAGAATCATCAGAAGACTGCACTGGTCAAGCTTTTTAAGAAGACTTTGATTATGCTTTTTTATTATTGTTGTTACATAAATTTAAAAACAATAAAATATTTTTAAACAGACAACAACTTTAAGGAAAGCAGACCTATCTGTCAAGATTTTTGGGTGTCCGATTTTAGCACTGCAGCTCCAGGAGGGCTGTTGTAGCAGCTTACATTTTCAAATAGGGGTTAGGAATACATCATAGGTGCCAACACTACCAGTTGATTTACGCTTCATTCCGGTCTCTTCTTAACATCAACCTCAAGGTAAGCAAAACCCCTCCTAAGCCCAAAAGTAAATCAGACATCAAGAATAAATTATCAGAGCAATGATACAGCAAGTTAAGAAGTTCTGGGGATACATGTCCCCAAAAAGCTCACTTGCCAGCAATCCAATTTAATATCTTCTGAATCAGTAACTACTCTTTTGGCTTATGAGCAAATGTTGCTGTATTTTACATAGAATGAATTGTATTTAAAAACATATACAATTTCAGTACTCTTTTTTTCCAATTAAAGGAAATCTCATCTGAGCAAAACATGTTTCTGTGACACCATAGAATGTTCTTAATTTATTGATCACTTTTGGGTGGTGACATGGATATGGATTAGATGTTCAGAAAGTTGTTTTTTTTAAAGGACGTGTGCCGCTTGTCTAACTTTTACCTAAATAAGCATCCAAACCTTTCTCTTCCAATTACCCTTGTGACTGTTAAGCTGTTTACATAAGCAGGTATAGCATATGACATTTTTAATTCAGAACTCGTTTAGCGGAGAAAAGGGATAAGAGAAATCAATAGGAAAAAAGAAAAGTTTACGGTGAGACTATCATTTTTCTACCACAACAAGCTGAACAATGCAAAGATGCACAATTTGCCCAGGAGTGCAAACATTATGAAAAGTAAGCAACAAACATCTCACCAGGTGAATCCACTACATTTTCCAAATCATATTTTGAAACAGAAGATGGGAAATAACGCCATGTTTTCAACACAGAGTTAGGCCTCTTATTTCCCTTTACAAAGTGAAAGAAGAAAAGTTACCAAAAGCCTATAGCTGTAGCAGCAAAGGAATTACTGTGGCACAAACTTTCTGATGCAGTAGGCTCCTACTTATAAAACCTAATCCCATTTAGTCTTCTAAGGTACCCCAGGACCCTGTTACCATTTCCTACAAGAAAATGCTTAGCACACCTACTCATAGCTGTTAACTTTTACCTTTTTTTAAGGGAAATTCCCTTATTCCGAATAGGATTCCTCGCAAGTAAAGGGGAAAGTTGACAGCTATGCACCTACTATTCTGGAACATGTCCCACCCAGCAGCTTTTGGAGGGTGAGCTGTAAAAAAAAAAATGCCCTACTTTGCAGCGGAAAAAGAAAACAAAAACCAAGCAGCTGTCAAAGCTCACTGCAGCTGCCTACAACTGTAGCCTCACCTCTCTGAAAGGTTACCTAAGATCCACACTACCATGGGGGAAGAGGAGGGGAGTGTAGCCAGCTCACACACATCACCCCAGTCATAGAATCAGGGAATTGTAGAGTCGGAAGGGACCATGAGGGTCATCTAGTCCAACCCCTGCAATGCAGGAGTTTACTTGCCCCTGAGATTAAGAGTCTCAAGATCTACGGACTGAGCTATCCCAGAGGACTGACCTACTGGACATTGCCTTTCCCTCGCTACCAAGGAGGGGATGGAGGGCAGGGAGGTATTGATTTGTTCTTGTTTTTATGTACGTATTTTGTGGTTGGTTGGTTGGTTTTTTCTAATATTATGTTTTTTGCGCTGTGAAGGGACCCGAGATCTGCAGACCGGGTGGGGGGGGCATACAAATGTCAACAATCACAACCACCTTTCACACACACACACACACACACACACACACAGAGCGTTCCGTTTCTGATGGGGTGTTTGTTGGGTCTTTTTTGAGAATCCCGAACCAGCATCCCCACCTCCCCCAACAACAACAACAACACACAGCTGTCAATAAACACACACAAAACACCCTCCGTGCCGCATCTGCCGAGACGAAATCGCTCGCCCCTCGCGTGCTAAGTTCACACACACACAAACACACACACACGAGAGCAACAACATGCCCCCCAAAAAAATAACAACAACCCACAACCAGGGGCACCCCGATGTCCAGTTGCAAGGTTTTGCCAACCACGACCACACACAATTGCCATGCACACCACCGACACACACAAATCACACAGCGACCGACAACAACACCACACCTCCACACGCATACCAAATATATATATATACACAGAGAGACACCCCTCCCTGACAGGCCCCCCCCCGCGACGCCAACCGTCCCCGAAGCGGCACCTGAGGCGCCCCGGCGGGCCAAGGGAGGGAAGCTCAGGTGAGGCGCGCAGAACCCCCCACGGGACGCCTCCCCGGCGCGGGCCAGGCTATTTCCCACCCCCCACCCCCGACCCTCAGGCCGACGGCCCGCGCTCCTCCCCGCCCCTCCGCTCGCCCCCCCTCCCGCCCCCCTCACACAAGCCGCCCGAGGCTCCAGGCCGTTACCTTCCTCGGCGGTCTCCATCTTGTCCGGGTGACGCAGGCGGGGCGTGACGCAAGCCAGAGAACGTGGGGGCGGAGGGAGAGAGAGATAGAGCGATAGAGAGGAAGAGAGAGAAGGAACGGGCCCAGCGGGCTCCCGGTAGCCAGGGCCCGCTGCGGCCTTGCCGCGGGCTCCCCCTGGAGGTTTCTTCGCGTCACAGCCCGTCCCCTCAGCGGCCTCCTCGCCAGGGGAGCGTCACAGGAGAAGAGTTCTCCCCGAGCGCGGCGCGGCGCGTCACAAGCGCGGCGTAAAGGCCGCGCGTGCGTCGTTGCGGAGCGCGGCGTACAATAACCGCAGCCAAGCCCGTCTTGGCTAGGTAGGGAAGGAAGGGGTTAAGGATCACAGAGCGGTGGGTTGCTAGAGAAGGCACGGCTAGGCCACGCCCCCCTCAGCTTCCGGGGAAGTTGGGGGAATGTTGTCTTTGGTCCCCCCCCCTTCTCCTGTTTGAACCGTGTAGGTAGCCGCATAACCTAGCCAAGACTCTGTACTTCTAGAATCATAAAATTGTACAGTTGGAAGGGTCCCCCAAAGGTCATCTAGTCCAACCCCCAGCAATGCAGGAATCTAAACTGAAGCTTGAAGATATTATTATTATTATTATTATTATTATTATTATTATTATTATTATTTACTGAAGATTTTTGCCTGCATTGTTTCTTCTGCAGGCAGTGTCAGATTTAAGGTAGTGCAGGTGCAGAAAGAAGAAATGCCACGGCGAGCCTGTGTCATCCCAGCCTGACGCTTTCCTCAGCCCCAGCTGCAGCAAAACATGTCTCTCCTGTATCAGCCTCTACAACCATAGCAGAAATGGGGCAGCCCGGTGTTGGAAATTGAATTCTGCAGGCAGCAAAGAACAAAGGCAGCTAGCAATTAACTTGTTTAATGGAATTATTTTTCCAACTCCCATGTTTCATAATTGAAATAAAGCTATGGTATCAGTTGTCCATTGATTATTTTGCATTTTACCCATTTTACCACATTTGTCACGCACAAGTAACATAGTGGCCAAGTTCACTATGGGAGAGGAGATTGCAGCCACTTCACACACACACACACACACACACACACACAAAAGTTATGGCACAAATTGACTTGGCTCAGCAGAGCTGGGACTTTCTTTTTTCTTAGGCTGCAAATGGCTAATGTAAACACCTGCTGGCAGGTGGATTAGTAACTTGTAGACTTTTTTGCAGGCCTGATTCTAAGCTAAATGTCACACTCACTGAGGCAGACCAGCCATTAAACAGGGTGAGGCCGCTGCCTCAGGCGACACAAGTGCCCCGGGAAGAACGTCCATGCTTACCCTGCCTGCCCCCCACTTCCACCTCAGCAAGATCACATCCATTTTGGGCGAGATCTAGCGGAGCGCATGAGACCTGAAATTTGGGGTGAGATCTCACCCCAAATCAGTGCCGTCTTGCCACCAATGTCAACGGCGCTACTCTGCCAGCGGTGAATTTGGCAGGGTAGGTGGAGGTGGCAGGAGACTAGATAAAATGGACCCATTTCAACTATGGCATCACATCTCCACAGAGGCAAGCAACTTTATCTTTGAAGTCCTTGGCTGATGTGTAATAGCAGGCATCGCAGGGCAGATCAGCTGATGTCAAATGCTTCACTGCTGGAAGTATTGTGTTCACTGCAACACAATAATGATTTTAATACTTCAAAACATCCCGGAAAAAGAGCACGGAGTAACAAGCAGGTATAATTACACCATTGCCTCATAGCTAAGTAGTAATCACAGTGGCACCTAATTAAAATTTATAATGGTTGGCTACACCCATTTTCTGATATTCCCAAATGGCCTTCCTTCCTCTAAAGAAGAGATGACTAAACACATATTTTATTAGAGTTAACCTAGTACATTAGAAAGAAGCATGTCAAAATTATCTCACCTAAATAGAAGGAAATTGTAATAGTATTTCCTTTTTTTTCTTTTAATACTGGGGGGGGGAAACCACAGAATTCTTTTGCAAAAGGCAGGCAACTGGAGATTCTTACATTCTAAATGTAGACACTGGGAGCAAGTAAAGAGTCATCACTGTTCAGTATTGCCAAATCCATAAACCAGGACAAGGCCTTCCACATTAACACTTCTACTGTTTCACATTTATTTAGCACCACTGGCTAAATCACCAGAGGTCATTTTTCATCATTTAGGCATACCTGTGATGTTGCCCTTAATCATACCCCTTAACCCACCCTGAAGGTTTGTGGTGACCATCACGGCCTTGGGTAGCATAGCAGGGCTTCCAGCAAATCCTATTATCTTTTCAGTGGTTCAGTAGGAGTATTACGCCATAAGTGACACACAGAAACACTTCAGTTGCACCATGCTAAGACCAGAATTGGAGAGCTACTTTTACAGAGCTTATACCAGGCATAGGCAACCTAAGGCCCATGGGCCGGAAGTGGCCAATGGGGGTCATTTAACCGGTCCATGGACCCCCCCACCGCCTGCTCGGGGATCCCTCCTGCCCGCTTTGTTGGCTCCTGTGCACCATGCTAAACCAGCATGCACAACCGGCATGGAGTTGAGCGGGGACCGCCTTCTGCGACGCTGGGCGGCTTCCCATTGGCTGCAGGAAGCTCCTGCAGCTAATGTGAAGCTGTGCACGCTTCCTCTGCACCGGAAGGAGCACCGGAAATGGTGTGTGCGTGTGCATGCGCACTCTGGCCTACTACGGCGTCTGCAGGATCACAAAGCGGCCCATGCCCCAAATCTTTGCTGATCCCTGGCTTATGCAGCTGAACAACCCCTTCCTCTGTTGTTTACTAGTGTCTATTTTAGATCTGTTTTAGATTCTTAAGTCCCTTTGGATAGGAACCTGTCATATCTGTTTTGGGCAAAAATTGCTATTTTTCTAGGAAAAGGTGCCAGAACTCACCATGAACGCCTCCCTTGTTCTCTTTTAATGGCAATGGCGCCTACCTGAGAAGTGCCGGAACTTAGTTCCAGTGAGTTCTGGCTGGAAAAAAATAAAGCCCTGGCGAAGATCAACTGTGTTCTTTAATGTTGACATAGGTGGCAAAATCAAACCAAACAGAAATAAACTTATCAGTTTCACATTGACCTTTTTATTTAAAAGTTAACTTTTCTTAAAAGGAGTCAAGGTACAGATTGAGTAGATTTCTCTTTCTGTAGGAAAGGAGATTAAAATTGAACGTATTATGCGGTATTTTAAAGAGGTTAAATGCAAGATTACCAGAGTGACTGGATGTATCATCTATTGTGGCATGGGACAATTTCTGGCTTCCCTGGGAGGGAGGGAATGAAATTTTTAAATGTATCAGTATGTACAATACTAGCAATCCCCTGTAGTAAGTAGTAGTACTGTCCATAACAGACACAGGAGCATCTAGACTGTAAGATTAGGCCCATGGTGAACAGAAGCACACTGAAATAAATACGACTAAATTGGTATTACATCTCTGTAAAGAATTGAGATTGGAGGTTTGTTGGTCGCAGGGTTCCTTCAGGTTGCAATCCTTTATCCACTCACTTAGGACTAAGCATCACTGAACTCAGTGGGACTCACTTCTGAGTAGACGTACCTAGATTTGCAACATTGATATATTTTTCCAGATTATAAATTTGGCCACTCTGAAGAATGATTGCTTGATCAATTAACACATCCTCATGAAAATTCAACAGCACTTCAGTACATATTTATCTGAACATACACATTATTGCATGTGATTTTAGCCTAGTACAAAGCTTGTCAAGAAGCAATTTTTGCTCCTTCGATGCACTTCTGTGTGCTATTTTCGTTATGTGCACACTTTATCCTAGTACATGCATTTTTTGCAGACATTACTTGGCTGTGTACATTCTCTGCAATATTCAGGGAGGTGCAAATGTCAAAGAGTGGTTGTTTTTTCAGTTTGCCTATTGCTTCAGAATGCGTGAATTAGGTCAGCTCACTGTTAAGTGTGAACTAAATAAATATTATCCCCTATCCCTATGAAAGACATGCTAACCACATATCCAGGGTCAACTGTAGCCAGCTGGAAACTTGTCAGACCCACAGAACAACAGGAGCCTAAAGCTGACTCGAGACAGTACGTGCCTAAGTAGCACCAACTTTGCGTGACTGAACGTGTGGCTAGGGCTACAGCAGCGTCCCACAACTGTAAAATCCTGATCCTCTAATTTAGAGCAGGGAATATTGGGAAGGGGACATCCCTTTCCTAGAGCCACCCCCCCCTTCCTGCAAAAAGCCTTAAAATTGGCCATCTCTCTCCCTACACTTTTGCCACATATTAAGTTTCTTCTACAGTAGCCACAGGAAGAAGCAGCAAATATACATGAAGAAATCTAAATTATATGTTCAGAGCCAGAGATCTTGCCAGGGGGTTGTCCTTTTTTAGCTTAAACAGAAACCTAGACGGCTGGCTGCGAGGAAATTGCATAGTGCGTTCTCCTTAGCAGCTTCTCTCTGTTCTTCAGTTGTTACCCCCACCCCGCCAAAAACAACAACTCTAAAAATCAGCCTTGGGGAACAAGAGAAGCCTGTCTCTTTGAATCCACGTCCCATCCCCTTTCCTGTCTTTCTGGGTTAGGCATTTGTCTTCAAAGCAGCCTCCACCTTCTTCTCCCAACTTCATATCTTCCATAACATCTGAAAGGAACACAGCACTGGAATGGAATCTGAGCAGCAACTATAGAACTGTTACTGGTGCTGCATTTTATTTTCCTTACATCAGCCGACAACCTGCAAGTTTCTCCTCATCGCCAAAGGAATCTTCCTTGGGTTTAGATCACAACCCCTCCAATCCAGGTATGTTCAGGTAGGGCAATAATGCCTCCTACCCTATCCTGAGGTTAGGACAGCAGCAGTTCTATAAAACTGTGGAGCAAAGGGGGGAGAAATGGAGATTCAAGCAGTGACAGGTGTTACACATAATGGCGGTGAATTTTAGGGGCTTTGAGTGTAAGCTACCCATCAGGAACTCTTGGCTTCAGATCTTACCTCTGCTTCAAACGCATTACACGACTGTAGGCAGACCACTTGCGGTCAGGGGATAACAATAATGATCGACTTTACAGGGTTGCTATTGTTTTTACAAAATAATGTATGTGCTCTGAACACCCGGAAGAGCTGTATAAATGCTAATGTGTTGTTACTTAAATTACTGGAACATATTTTGAAAGGGATTAAAATGCTAGATTTTATATATTACGTAGTAGGAAACGAAAAGAATCCTTTTTTATTTTTGAGTCCTCCCACAAAGAGTTCTATACTGTATTCTATAAAAAGAAATAAAGGAATGATTATGACTAATATTCTTTGAAGTGCTTAAGACAATCTTCAGCTAGTGTTACTCAAGTCCTATCTGTTTTGTATGGAGAACATCGTTTTTGAATTGCTGCCCCCAAATCATAGCAGATTTGCTACTGAAATTAGCAGGCTATCTGTGCAAATATCAAGAGAGGGACTCAAGATAGGGCATGCTTTCAGATAGATGCTTATTGTGCAAATGGTGATCCTCATGTACACACCAAAATGCCTGTACAGTGGTACCTCGGGTTACATACGCTTCAGGTTACAGACTCCGCTAACCCAGAAATAGTACCTCGGGCGAAGAACTTTACTTCAGGATGAGAACAGAAATTGTGCTCCGGCGGAGCGGCAGCAGCGGGAGGCCCCATTAGCTAAAGTGGTGCTTCAGGTTAAGAACGGCTTCAGGTTAAGAACGGACCTCCGGAACGAATTAAGTACTTAACCAGAGGTACCACTGTATCTGGATTTTAAGCTGGATTTAACCTTTCCAGAGGGAATTTGATAAGTAAAAAAAAAAACCCAACCCATCTGCAAATTAAGCCCGTCTGCAATTATCCCAAGTACATGTAAAATAAATTGCCATTGTGTACAGTATCTGAATACATTTGAGTTTCAGAAATGTACGTTCAAACATCTGCTTGGCTACCAAATTCACAGGGTGGCTACTGTTACTATATAGATTTTTATTCTCCCTTCCCTTTCTTCAGGGTTGCTCAAGGCCCCTCTTCAATTTCGCCCTCACAATAAAGCCTGTGAGACAAGCTAATGTGGGAGGTGGCAAATCGCCCAGGGTCACACAGTGTATTTTGACCTTGACTAAGCAATTGTGGCCCAGTTCAAATGCAGCAATATCGGACTAATGAATCATAATTTATTAGACCAAGAGGGAACATTGCGACCTGTGCTTGCTTCACTCATGCACCATAATAGAACAGTTCTGTGGTTTGCTGAACCACACAGAGGAATTCAACGTAGCACATAGCAGACTGCTCTGTCAGCACAAGCATTTCTGGTTTTGCCTCCAAGTTTATTAGTTTGGACATTACAGGCAAATATGGCTTAATAGCTCACAACTGGCTGATTGCTCAGTTGGTAGAGCATGAGACTCTTAATCTCAGGGTCATGCGTTTCAGAGGCGTGGCGGGTGGCAGGAGGGCCATGGCCCTGGGCACAGAATTCGGAGGGGGCAATCAAGTGCCCCCAGGACAGGCTCCCTCATTGAGGCCAGAACTGCGGCAAGGAAGCCAGCATGCCTGCCCGCCAGCATGGCCCCCCACACCCTGGGCTCCAGCAACCCACGCTACACCACTGGTGGGTTGGGGCCCCATGGTGGGCAAAAGATTCCTGTATTGGACTAAATGACCTTTTCAACACTGCAACTGTATGATTCTGTGACTGTATAACAGAAGTGCTGAAGCCAGGTGCACAAAGGGAGGGGTGTGCAGACACAAAGCCCATTGTCAGTCTCTTAGAGTGACTGTTGCGGGGGTGAGAGGCGATTTTGTATGTAAAAATTAATGCTAACAGTACCCCAGCTAAAGGATACTAAGGCTAGATCTAAAAAAGGTAAAGGTAAAGGGACCCCTGACGATTAGGTCCAGTCGTGACCGACTCTGGGGTTGCGGCGCTCATCTCGCTTTATTGGCCGAGGGAGCCGGCGTACAGCTTCTGGGTCATGTGGCCAGCATGACTAAGCCGCTTCTGGCGAACCAGAGCAGCGCACGGAAATGCCGTTTACCTTCCCACTGGAGCGGTACCTATTTATCTACTTGCACTTTGACGTGCTTTCGAACAGCTAGGTTGGCAGGAGCTAGGACCAAGCAACGGGAGCTCACCCCGTCACGGGGATTTGAACCTAGGCTCTGTGGTTTAACCCACAGCGCCACCCACGTCCCAGGCTAGATCTACACAGCTATAAAAAAAAGTTCTGAAAATGCGCTGCAAAAAAACGTTATAAAGCTCATAAATGAAAATATAATTGAGTTGTGATCAATGGGGAAAGGAAATTCACACAGCTGACATTTTCAGTTTGAGGCTGCAATCCCATTAACATTTACCAGGGGAGAAACCGCACTGTACTCAGTGAAACAAACTTCTGCGGAGAAGACACATAAATAAGTTTGCACTGTAACCGGTGTAGGAAAGAAGATGGCATATTTTTTGCTGGAGTCAATCAGGAGAGAGCCACAAGAAATTGATTCAAATTGTGGGGATGTTTATACCTGAAAGCACTGTATAAATACCCGCAGGTTGTGTGCTTATTTGTTCTAGATACCTTTATCCCATTTTTTCTTCCACTAGAGGGAACTCAATGCATCTAAAAGCATAGAAGTACAAAGGGAAGAGGCAGCAAAGAGTTTGACTAGCCGAATAAATACAAAAAAGCTTAAGGAAAGGCTGGAATAGCCCCAAGCTAGGTTGATTCAAATATGGATCACGCAGCTGTTATCATGTGCTGCTCTTTGGCCCATTTCCCTTTTAATGGGCATGAAAATATTTGTCCACCATGCAGGGATAATTGCATTTAATCATTAATGTGACATAGCTGTCAACTTACAGATTTGAAAATAAGGGACCAGCAGCCTCAAAAATAAGGGATCAGCAGCCAAAATAAGGGATCAACAATTACTTTGATAAAATACATATTTTGTTGCGTGCAAATGGCTTTAGATACCTATTAGGTCCATAAATTACCATATAGCATATATCCAACACAAAAAACAGCAACAATTTGATGTTGACAAAGGACAGCTGGACATAGAAAGGGCCCCATTACCTTCAGTAGCTTATTTAAGGGACATCATCAATAAGGGACAGCAGCGGGACATGGCGCTGGGATATGTGACAGTCCCACCAAATAAGGGACACTTGACAGCTATGCACTGTGAAGTTATGATGTCAGATATAGGGACAGGGGAGGAATTTGGTTCAGTTCACTTGAAAGCAAAGCTCCTGAATTTGTTCTTTCCAAAACAACGTGAGAACTGAAACCCAGACATCCTTCGAAATTCACACTTTTCTGAATTTTGCCATGCAGTTCTGTGGCCAAGCAATGTGTACAAAAATGCACATACTGCAACAAAGTGGACATAAAGTATTATTCAACATAAAAAATTGCATTCTATTCAAGGAAAATATTTGGCAAACATATTGTTTTTATATAGTACAAGCTGAGCACTGGTTAGAGGTTTTTGGAATATTAAGCAGTTTAGAAATAAATGATAAATATATTAGGCAAAACTGCATACATTGGGAGAGATTTGCTGGAAGGTGCTGATTGCATTTCAGTATGACTTCCTGATATAAGATTGTGGAGAACTAATTGGGGAAATTGAGAGAAACCAAAACTGCTCATCTGTAGCCTGATGTCAGTGAATAGCTGAAATGAGACAGGGTGCAATGGAACTAATTAGGAACTGGGCTTTTCCCAACCAAATTTCTTGAATATTCCAAACTCCTCTTGTGCACTGCCCTAATTGCAGAGACTCCCTTTTTCCATATTTTTCAGCGGCTAACAACTTTTCTCAGTGATGACACTGACTATGGAATAGACTTCCCGAGTAAAGCCTGGCAGGCTACTGTATTACTTAGATGTGCTTTTAATTCCTTTTGGAAAAAATGCACTAAGGCCTCTGAGTCTAATTTAGTTTTATAGGAGTCTATTTTGGTGGTTTAGATCTTTCTTTCTCTTCACCCTTGCTTCATACATATGACCCACAATTTAAATGTTTCTTTAAGTGCAGTCGCTTTATTGTACAAGCATCCTGTGTGCTATAGTTAATTACCGTATATTGCTTTTAGTAAGACAATATGTGAACCTCACTAGGGTATTATTATTATTATTATTATTATTATTATTGGTTAATTTATTTGTGATGAATTTGGAGGCCTTTTCAGATATTATACGGTAATAATATTATAATAATAATTTATTATTTATACCCCGCCCATCTGGCTGGGTTTCCCCAGCCACTCTGGGTGGCTCCCAATAGAATATTGAAAACACAATAAAATTGAAAACACGATAAAACTGAAAACATCAAAAACGTCCCTAAACAGGGCTGCCTTCAGGTGTTTTCTAAAAGTCAAGTAGTTGTTTTTCCTTGACATCTGATGGGAGGGTGTTCCACAGGGTGGGCACCACTACAGACAAGGCCCTGTGCCTGGTTCCCTGTAACCTCACTCCTTGCAGTGAGGTAATCGCCAGAAGGCCCTCGGAGCTGGACCTCAGTGTCCGGGCCAAACAATGGGAGTGGAGACTCTCCTTCAGGTGTACTGGGCTGAGGCCATTTAGGGCTTTAAAGGTTAACACCAACACTTTGAATTGTGCTCGGAAATGTACTGGGAGCCAATGAAAGTCTTTCAGGACCAGTGTTTTATGGTCTCGGCGACCACTCCCAGTCACCAGTCTAGCTGCTGCATTCTGGATTAGTTGTAGTTTCAGGGTCACTTTCAAAGGTAGCCCCACGTAAAGCGCATTGCAGTAGTCCAAGCGGGAGATAACTAGAGCATGCACCACTCTGGCGAGACAGTCCACGGGCAGGTAGGATCTCAGTCTGCATACCAGATGGAGCTGGTAGACATGCCAGGGAGAATAAAAATGTGCAGGGGGGTCAGCTCAACCAGTTGGACCAACGACTGACTTCTGTGCAGTCACCTGACCTTCTGCCCTAAGACTAAACACATACAGAAGGTCAGATGACACTACGGAATGGCACAAGACCTTCTGGTGCAAGCCAATCTTGTCTTAAATCAAAGATGTCCTCTTAAGTTATTTGATCCATCTCTTGTAAACCAGCACAATATGCCAGGCATGAGTAGCTGGCAGCTCGGGAATTATTATTGCTGCAATTCTTAATTCAATTTCCATGCCATCCTTTCCCCCAAAAAGGTAAAGGTAAAGGTACCCCTGCCCGTACGGGCCAGTCTTGACAGACTCTGGGGTTGTGCGCCCATCTCACTCAAGAGGCCGGGGGCCAGCGCTGTCCGGAGACACTTCCGGGTCACGTGGCCAGCGTGACAAAGCTGCATCTGGCGAGCCAGCGCAGCACACGGAACGCCGTTTACCTTCCCGCTAGAAAGCGGTCCCTATTTATCTACTTGCACTTAGGGGTGCTTTCGAACTGCTAGGTTGGCAGGCGCTGGGACCGAGCAGCGGGAGCGCACCCCGCCGCGGGGATTCGAACCTCCGACCTTTCGATTGGCAAGCCCTAGGCGCTGAGGCTTTTACCCACAGCGCCACCCGCGTCCCTTTCCCCCAAAGGAGCCCAATAAAACACACATAAAATAATAAACCTAAGCAGCAATAAAAGAACGTGTATCGAGAAACAGCATAGCAACAAAAGTCCATATAAATTTCCCAGTTCTGAATTTTCTTCTTCCTCATGCTGGCATTTTGAATTTCAGTTCAGAGCCGCTCCCCAAAATACAGACCTTTGCCACCCTTGTTCTCCAGCATGACATGTAGGTGGGAAGGACAAACAGTGCTGGCAAATAATTGCTGATGGAAGGGTCTGGGAATAATGAGGAGGAACGCTTGGTGCTTCCAGTTCCATCTACACTGAGGGTTGCAATGAGGGTGGCAACGCAAGAGTCATTCAAATGCCCATCCGGCTAAAACAGGATTCCGCTGGAATTGTTGAACTCGCCAGTTGCTTGGTCTTTGGTGCAGACCACATCAAAGCTAGCTGGCTGTGAGAATGAGGAAATCCTGGAAGAGGAAATGGTGGAGGAAATGATTGCACCAACAATCTTGTTTTGATGAATCAGGGACTTGCCATTATAGAAGAGCCTTTCCAGGCCACAGGGATGCCAACTAGAATTAAATATTGGGCAGCCAAGGTAAGGCCCACCCTGCATAAACACACCCTCCAACATTTTTCTGATAAAAACAGGAACGTCCTAAATAATAATAATAATAATAATAATAATAATAATAATAATAATAATAATTTATTTATACCCCGCCCATCTGGCTGAGCCTCCCCACCCATCTGATTGGGTTGCTCCAGCCACTCTGAGTGGCTCCCAACATATATAAAAACAATACAGTAAAACACTAAACATTAAAAAAACTTCCCTATACAGGGCTGCATTCAGATGTCTTCTAAAGGTTGTAGAGTTATTTATCTCATTGGCTTGTGGGTGGCATAACTCCATACCCTCCCACATTTCTCCAATTAAAATAGGGATGTCCTAAGGAAAAGTGGGACATTCCAGGATCAAATTTGAAACCGGGACAGCTTCTGTAAATCCGGGGCTGTCCCTGGAAAACAGGGACACTTGGAGGGTTTGTGATCACAAGATGTGGCACACGCATGCCATCTGAATGGCGATGCCCAGCAATCTGGGGGAGCCCTTAACAGTCAGGGGTCCCTTTACCTTTACGTTTGGCTGATAGACATCCAATGCCCTTTTAAAATGTGTTGCGGAGTGGGAGATTATTGAGGGTTCATTATTATTATTATTATTATTATTATTATTATTATTATTATTATTATTATGTATTCTGTGTTCTACATTATGCCTTTATGCATAGCTGTCAACTTTTCCCTTTTCTTGCGAGGAATCCTATTCGGAATAAGGGAATTTCCCTTTAAAAAAGGGAAAAGTTGACAGCTATGCTTTTATGTTGTGAACCACCCTAAGACCTGCAGGTAAATAATTTGAATAATAATAATAATAATAATAATAACAACAACAAGATGCTTCCAATGGCAACTATTACAATTGCAAAAACAACTGCAAGAATGTAGCAACTAGCCATCAATAATGTATGGACAGGCCTGCTTCCAGCATATGCTTAATTGCAGATATATGCCTTGCCCCGTATTCTTAGTCAGCAATTTGTATGAATTCCAAGGTATTCAGTGTTCAAATTACTATTAGCGCAGATTACAACAACTTTTTCACTAAGGTCTCTTACATCAGGCCTGCTGGCTGGAGGCAGCTGAATTGACAATTACCATGTTCTCATCATTTGCTTAATAGCGCTCATCTGCCTTTGAAGTCGGACCCCACCTTTCAGTCTTACTAAAGTGCAATGTTTTTTCAAGCATTGCCGCTTTGATGCACCCTGTCCTCTGGCCACCCACTCAACAGGCCCTCAGGTTGGCATGTCGATTTTCAACTACAGTTTTCTGCAGGACTTGATCTCCTTCCACAGGCAGGGCCTGTAAGACAGAGCTATTCCACCTGGCTTTCAATTTGAATTAGCCTGATCCTCTATTCCCATTTCCCTTTCCTCTTCTACGAAGAAACCCTTTCTTGGGACCCCACATTTAAATTCCTCTCTGGTCTCCTTGCTGGCCCTAGTAGGACCAACTTGGCCAGTTAGCCCTGGTGATCATTTGATGTCTACTGACTGGGTTCCCCCCCCCCCCAAAAAAAATGACTCCTGAATTTTTGAATTTTATTGATATTGATGATTCATTTTATGCTGTTTTATGTTGTTTTTAAGTCACATTTTAATCAATGTTTTATATTTGCTGTTAGCCGCCCTTGCCCGGTTTTTAAACCGGGAAGGGCGGAGTATAAATAAAAATTTATTATTATTATTTATTATTCTGTTAGGAGACGCGGGTTGCCCTGTGGGTAAAACCTCAGCGCCTAGGACTTGCCGATCGCATGGTCGGCGGTTCAAATCCCCGCGGCGGGGTGAGCTCCCGTCGTTCGGTCCCAGCTCCTGCCCACCTAGCAGTTCGAAAGCACCCCTAATTGCAAGTAGATAAATAGGTACCGCTTTATAGCGGGAAGGTAAACGGCATTTCCGTCTGCTGCTCTGGTGCCGGTTCACCAGAGCAGCTTCGTCACGCTGGCCACGTGACCCGGAAGTGTCTGCGGACAGCGCTGGCTCCCAGCCTCTAGAGTGAGATGAGCGCACAACCCTAGAGTCTGTCAAGACTGGCCCGTACGGGCAGGGGTACCTTTACCTTTTTATTATTCTGTTATTCATTCTGTCTGTTCCCAGTTTGTATACTTCAAAGACGCTGGAACTTACTTTCATCAATTTTCACAATCACTACAACTACTAGTAATCTTTGTTTTAATATTGGTGTGTGTATAGAACTATGCTGCAAAGTAGGAGGCTTTAAAAAACAACCCCCTTATTCACTTTTGACTTTTACATGAGTTGCTGCTGGCACAGTATTCAAGGTGTCCCTTTAAATTTGTCCTTGGCACTTTGGTCTGAACTTACTTTTGTTTCCCATACTGTGCTTTCTTCTTTTTCCCAATCTAATGAAGTCCTTGATTAGTTGCATCAGATGTGCTTGAGAAAACACCCAGTGTTTTTTTCCAGCAGGTACTCAAGGGTACTTAGTACCAGCACCTCTTTTTGCTGTTGTTAAAAAGTGTGGCACTTACTGTGACAACTTTCTGGTGAGTACTGGAACCTATTTTTCTAGGGGGGGGGGAAGCACTGACGACACCTGTTGTATTTGTGCTGTTGTGAGGGGTTCTATTCAGGGGGTTAAATAATACCATATTTACGTGAACTGAACGTGTCATCAAATCTAATGGCACACCTCGATTTTCAAAACACTGAAACGAAAAATGTATTTGCTGGCGAATGTAAATGTGTCATCAAATCTAATGCGCACCCTAATTTTATGAAGTAATTTGGGCAAAAATGGTGTGCGTTACATTTGAGTAAATACGGTAGTTAGACTGGAGAAGCCAGTATAAGTTGCAATTTCAGCTGAATTTGGGGGAACCACTTGAAGCATCTATTGTGTTGAGCTATTTCAATTGCTTTTGTTCCGATTTGCTCATTGCCAACAGCTGAAAGTCTGCAAATTTTGATAACAAACCTGATTTGCCATGGGGGGTTGAATAATTTTGATTGCAAGTGTATGTGTAAATAAACCCTATGTCATAAAGTTACCACAGCCTCTTTTGAGCCTCATTTTCAAAGGAAACAAATCCTGGAACCCCTGGAATTTCACACGACTCAAGAGATTAGGGTGGCATGCAGTAATATATTTCTGTTGCTCCGTGTGGGTCAATTTCGTTTTTTTAACAATAGCTTCTTTTTGTTTATATTTGACTAATTACATTTTGTTTACATTTCAGTTTTTTGTAATGACTAGTCAGGATTTACCTTTCCAATATGATGTTGGAAGAAGAAGCACTTACACGGGGCGTGGCCAAGATGTGCAAGTTGATAACATCAAAGCATATGTTTGCCAACCTCCTTCCAACACGGACAAAGCTGTGATTGTGATTCACGACATATATGGATGGCAATTCCCAGATACCAGATACATTGCTGATATGGTCGCAGCTAAAGGATACATGTGAGCAATTGGTTCTTTTTAACCTTCCTCAATCTCTACGTTATGGTTGCAAGGCCAGAAATTTGACCTGGCTTGTGATTTTCACACAGAAAAGTTATCCGTCACCTCTTGTCTGAATGTTTTCCTGAAACGCATTAGTCTCATTAAAAAAGTACATTAAGAAATATTACCTGAAATGTGGGCACTTAATGCAGGGCAGGAAATTCCAGGGCAGGGAATTTAAAATGTCTATATAAGGCCTTGCGCGCCATTGTTCTGGGTTCTTCCTTCCTCCTGCGATGTGGCGAGTGAGGACCCTGTTGCAACAGATCAATAAAGATCAGGCTTACTAGCTGCTTTGCTTCTCAATATTCTCTGGTTGGCCTCTGTTGTTTTCTCCTACCAATAGGGAACCTATGTAAGGACTCTATATGGGCTCTTGGATACCCCATAAGGGAAAAGGGCAGATTTTTGTTTACAACAGGGTTCAGCAGGGCTTTTCATAGCAGTGCTGCATAATCCTGTCCCTTCCTCAGAGAAAGTGAGTTCCAGTCGGTGGTGAAGCTGGGCTTTGCTGGGGGCCTTGACCAGCAAAGGTCCACTTCAAACACCACCACAACACTGTTTTCATCTAGCACAGGGTATGCAAAAAGTTCAAAGATACGGTGTTATGTACTGAGTTGAATAGGATCCAAAAGGCAGCAGTCTGATTGGTCCTAGAACAATAGGATCCAAAATGCAGCAGTCTGATTGGTCCTAGAACAATGCAGCAGTCTGATTGGTCTGCAGGAGCCACCCAATCCAGCTCCAGATGGAAGTGAATCCACAATCTGATTGGCCTACAGGAGAATTCTGGAATTAGCCAATCACATGCAGCCCATTGTGTAAATAATGTATATAAAGCAGATACTTTGGGGAAACTTTCATTCCTCCTCACCACTATGAGCTGAATAAAGAGCATGAAATCCACTCTTGACTCTGAGTATGTTTCAGATACTGTGAGGGAGCTCTCTGCTTATATGCTCTTCTGGGTGAAGGGGTCCCACTGAGGATATTTTCCCCAATAACTACTAGACTACTAATATCCATGCTAAACATATAGCAAAGGTTCAGAGTCTAGATATGAAGGGTTTAGCAACAGACAGAGCCAATTGGAGGGTGACTCAGGAGGACCTTATCCACAGGGCCCTCATTTTTTTGGCATTCGGCAAGTTTCACAACTTGTTTTTATGTGCAACGGAGCAACACAACTTCTCAGCTTAGAAGTGCAAATTTGTTAATTGATACAGATGGTGTGGTGTCATATTAAAGAATATAAAATGTTCGTTCATACACTGGAACCTCGGTTGTCGCACGGTTTGGAAGCTGAACAATTCGGAACCCGAATGCCGACAACCCGGAAGTGAATGCTTTCTGTTTTCAAACACGCCTCGGAAGTCGAACGGCTTCTGAGGTGCGTTTCTCCATTTTTTAAAAGGAGTTTGCCGACAGGCAATTGCATCTCAGCTGTCAAACATTTTGGAAGTTGAACAGTGCTCCGGAATGGATTATGTTTGACAACCGAGGTTCCACTGTATTCATAAAAATGTATCTGCTCTTACGCCACAAATCAACTAATATACGAACCACTCCTTTCTCAGTGCCTTATTTTGTTTTTGTGTTGTCATTTTTTGAATTATTATTTTGACTACGGGCCCCAAAAGGTAGAAGTGGCCCAGGCTTCTCTGGGCCTCAGAGTGGACCTGCCTGAAAACTTTCTGCCCTGTCCTTTCATTGAGTCCTTTCGCCTTGCTGGAATGTGTCATTGAACTGTGACAGTGCCTCTTCTTTTCCTGGATATGGAACTGTTGCAAATGCAAGCCACACACCAATTGTGTAATGATCTAGAATAAGAATTTGAAGCACAAACACTCTAGAGGTTAAAACAACTTCATGAAAATAAATGCCTTTAATATGTGAATTCTTAACTGCTGTACATTGGATGAATGTTGGCTGGATGCCACAATGATCTGAGGTGGTGTCAATGAGAGTTACGTATTTCATTATTGCTAATCACAGCACACAGGAAGGGAGTTTTTGCAAAGATTGTCACTGGGGAGAGAAGGGTAAAACTTTCCTGCATGCTGCAATCTCTATGCATAGACTTAAAATGACATATTTTTTTAAAAGGGAGCTGAACAGGTCATAGGTAACATCTGTCTGCTATTCCATACAGAACCATATGCCCAGATTTCTTCCTGGGAAAAGAACCATGGAAAACTACTGATCGTTGGCAGAATTTTGCGGACTGGTTAAAGCACCGAGATCCCACAAAGGTGGACAAGTAAGACTTAACATTTATTCCAAAGCTATAACTAATAGATGTAGCTAAGGGGACAACATAAGGTTAATTCACCATCGACAGGAGAATTGAATTTTGGGAGGGGCATTGACATACCCTCCAACATTTCTCCGATGAAAATAGGGACGTCCCATTCCAGAATGATAATTTAACTATTAATACCCCACACATCTTACTGGGTTGCCCCAGCCACTCTAGGCAGCTTCCAGCATATATAAAAGCAGAAAAAAACATTTAAAAAAAACCCTTCCCTATACAGGATTGCCTTCAGACAACTCAGAAGTCAGATAATGCCATACCCTCTAATATTTCTCCAATGAAAATAGGGACATTCTAAATAAAAGTGGGACATTCCAGGATCAAATCAGAAACTTGGAGGGCTTCTCTAAACCAGGGACATCCCTTGGAGGGTCTGTATTGATTGACCTAGGCAATATGATCCTAATCATACTTATTCAGAAGTCAATCCTGTTGAGATCAATGGAACTTCCATCCAAGAAAGTCTGCATAGGATTTTAGGCTAAACAGTGGCAGACTTGAGGCTCTCAAATTTCAGCAGCACCCCGCGCGTAGCTATAATTCGACACTCCCCACCTCTGTTATTCCTTAACAGACTTATTAACTCCCCTTCATGGTTTACACATTCTTTTGACATTCATTTTAGTATTATCAACCCTTGTCACTCTTCCATGTTCAGTTGTTCCTCTTACAAGTGTGTAAAAAATGAGGAATAGCACCAGATATCCATTTTCATAGAAAAATTAAGCATTCTTTCCTGTGTTTATACTTCTATAAAATTCCAAATGGTGCCTCTGTTGGTCTCCAGTTGTGGGCAAGCCCACACTTTTACAAGGGCATGTGCCATTCAAAGCAAATGATTTCATTTAAAATCAGTTCCCATAATTTAGTGGCCATCTGATAACCCGGCATCTTCCTGAGTGGGTCAGTGCTTTTTTAACAGCAGGTGAAGGTGGGAAAGCAAGTTATGATAATATTGCATTCTTTTTTTAATGTGTATGTAGATGTCTTAGTTCCCTTTTGTTCATGGTTGTAGGACAGCTGCTATTTTCATGAAGTATCTTAAGGAGCAGTACAACGCAATGAAAATCGGTGTCATTGGATTTTCTTGGGGTGGAATGGCTGTACATCACTTGATGTTGACAAATCCTGATTTTCAAGCTGGGGTATCCCTCTATGGTAATGACAAATGTTTGTAAACTTGAGTAGGCTCATATGTTTTTGTGCACTGAAACATTTGTAGTCTAAGGATGAGCTGCAGCATTCATTATGGCTATTTATTTCAGCAACATATGCTTCGTTCTCTCACTGTTCAAACAAGGGGAATAAGGATGCAATCCTATGTGCCTGCCTAACTTCTTGTGGGAGGGAGTTCCATAGGGTTCGGCCCACAACACCTTTTTTTCTTCCACATGTCTGGAGGGAAGTTCTGTTGAGTTGAGTTTCACTTTCACAGAAGTTCAGTTTAGCATCACATATGAGCCAGGGTTGCTGATTTGCAACAAACAGTGAATAGTTGCTGTTATGTACTGAAGTTCTCACCCTGGGCCAGCAGGGGGATACTGTAGATAGTTATGCAAATGAAGGATCGAAAGTGACGTTCAGTGATTGGATAGTTTTAGAAAGTTGTTACAGTAACAAGGTACTGGAGCTCTATATAAGCAGGCTGACTGAGCCCTTCAGTTCAGTTCTGTTCTGGCCTCTGAATAAAGAAGAGCTGTTTGAAGAATCGCTGTGTCGTCTGATATGTTCGCCCACAACTTAACAGTTGCTAAACAAACTAACTCAATAAACTTTTTCTTTCAAGTGTGCCTCTTATCTGGGACCTCAGCCATCAAACAGTAAAAATTATCCTACAAGGAAAATATAGGATTTTCCTGGCATTTGATTGCTATAGTGGCACAAATCATTACTTATAACACTGCAAATTAAGCTGATGGGGCATTATTGTTTTTTAACTGCTGCCCTTGAGAACATGAGAAAGAACGTATGAGAGATACATACAGCTGAAGTAAATAGAAGCCTTTGTTCTCTATTGACCTTGAAGAACATACTACTTGATTTAACCTCTTTCTTTAAATATGCTTTAGGAATCATCAGAGACTCTGAAAGTAGGTATAATTTGCTGAATCCTACCTTTTTCATGTTTGGTGGAAAAGATCACACAATTTCTTCTGATCAGGTAAGCTATTGCACAGTGAAGTCTCTGGCAGAGGGGCCAAGGCATGGTGACATTGCCATAAACACAATCGCTTGGGATTTAAAGAGGCTTTGGCTTTATTAATCACAGGTGTCAGCAGGTTTTGGCGCAGACATCAGGTGTATATCTTGAATCAACCAACCCTTTCTACTGGTAGATTATTTGGTAAGGTTAAGGTAAAAGGTAAAGGTACCCCTGACCGTTTGGTCCAGTCGCAGACGACTCTGGGGTTGCAGCCCTCATCTTGCTCTGTAGGCTGAGAAGCTGGCCACAGACAGCTTCCGGGTCATGTGGCCAGCATGACTAAGCCGCATCTGGCGAACCAGAGCAATGCATGGAAATGCCGTTTACCTTCCCGCCGGAGCGGTACCTATTTATCTACTTGCACTTTGACGTGCTTTTGAACTGCTAGGTTGGCAGGAGCAGGGACCGAGCAACGGGAGCTCACCCTGTCGTGGGGATTCGAACCGCTGACCTTCTGATCGGCAAGCCCTAGGCTCTGTGGTTTAGACTACAGCGCCACCCGCGTCCCCCACAGCGCCACCCGCGTTAAGGACTGTACATTAAATTGGAGTGACGCTTCCCAAATCACCGTTTTGGGAGTGCTATGGCCCATAAGCCCCTGTCTGGGCATCTGCACAAAAGCACCTCCGCCTAGATTCCTTTAATGGGATACCTTGATTCCTTGGAGTGGTGGAGTGACTCTGGACACCCTCACCCACCTAGACTAAGGATTCAACTCAGTGTCTTATCCACCATCAAGATGTGGCAATTGCTAGGAGGAAGGCAAAAAAACCAAACACACTCATATAGGTCCAATTTGTCTGAAGGCAAATTCCTCCCTGGCCCTGAGTATGGCGACTGAAGACTTCCATAGCAAGGTCTGATGCATGCCTACCCTCAGAATGTGTAGTGTATCCAACATCAGCTGAGACTTAGGCTTGGGTAACTACAACTAATCCAGAATGCAACAGCTAGACAGGTGACTGGGGGCGACCGCCAAGACCACATAACACCAGACTTGAAAGACCTACATTGGCACCTAGTACGCTTCCGAGCACAATTCAAAGTGTTGGTGTTGACCTTTAGAGCCCTAAACGGCCTCGGTCCTGTATACCTGAAGGAGCTCCACCCCCATAATTCTGCCTGGACGCTGAGGTCCAGCGCCGAGGGCCTTCTGGCGGTTCCCTCACTGCGAGAAGCTAAGCTGCAGGGAACCAGGCAGAGGGCCTTCTCGGTAGTGGCGTCCGCCCTGTGGAACGCCCTCCCACCAGATGTCAAAGAGATAAACAACTGTCTGACATTTAGAAGACATCTGAAGGCAGCCCTGTTCAGGGAAGTTTTTAATGTGTGACATTTTAATGTATTTTTAATCTTTGTTGGAAGCCACCCAGAGTGGCTGGGGAAACCCAGCCAGATGGGCAGGGTACAAATAACAAATTATTATTATTGTTATTATTATTATTATTATTATTATTATTATTATTATTATTTACAGCTGGCTTTTATAGCTCCCCTGCAATTGGTTGCAACCACCCAGCCGTGAGCGCAGCCAGTGGAGGAGGAAGTGGCTGTGCCAAAGCTGGAAGACCGCCCAATACCACCATAGCCATGCTGGACCACAGCCACTGCTCCTTTCCAGCTGGTGGTTTAGCGTCCATTGTCTTCCAATTCAGACTTCCTTGATGCTTGAAATTGCCTCTTGAGTACAAGCTGCAAGTCTTCTGTAATGAGGGACAGGCAGCCTCTATGTGCGTAGCCCTACTTTTCTGATTTAATATTATTTTGCATCTGTTTCTGTCAAGAAGAGGCATTGCCACAAATGGAAAAGGAACCATACTGGTGTGTTAAAGGAGCAGGGCAGAGAATGAAAAACTAACCATACTTGATACAGGTGGAAAAGAATAAGAGAGGGAGGCAGGCTGGCAGGAAGGCAAAGACAACATTAGGTCTGCTCCAGTGAGACTGTCTCCATCTTCCACCTCTTCCACCCCACCCCTGGGCAAATTTCGCATTTTATATTGTTTATTTGTTTTAGTACATATATTAAAGTTGTAAACTGCCTTGGGTGCCTTGGCATTAAAATGGTGGATTTTATTTATATATTTTTTAAAAAATAATTGCACTCTGGCATGGTAGAATTTATTATTGCTTAATTGTAGTTATGGCAACACTAGATTTAAAGAAAAATCTTGAAGGAATTCAGATTAAAAGGGAGCAAATTTGGAAGTTTTGATTTTTAACTTTTGTAGATATCTAATGAAATTGATTGTGTGTTACAGGTCACTTTGTTGGAGGGAAAACTGGCAGAATACTGTAGAGTGCCCTTTAAAGTCAAAGTCTATCCTGGACAAGAACATGGCTTTGCACAGTTAAAGCCTGACGACATGAAGCCTGAAAATCAGCCTTATATAGAGGAGGCAAGAATGGATATGATTGACTGGCTGAACAGATACATTATGTTTTGAAACTTGAATATGTCACATTATTTCCTCACACGCCCTCCCACCAAAAAAATGCAATTTGTTTCCCCCCTCTAAAATATTTCTAGATTGTGGTGCTATCTATCGGAGAAAAGAGAAGATATACTTCAGAGAACTTTCAGTAATAAATTATGAAATATTTATAATGGAAGGTCCTTGAAATCATTGTCTGGCACACAAAGATACAAGCATTCAGTATTGGAAGTGTGCATGCCTTATAATGAACTTTATATTCTAAGGCTACCTTAAAACTTATTCTACTTTTTCCCCATTTTATGTGTCCCATTTCCTTCCCACCCCCCGAAAATAAAAATGTTCAGGATCTGTAAATGCATTATATACTAGCCATATTTTGGGCCTTAGGCTATGTACACACTAGCAGCTTAAAATGGAATAAGGTTGTTTCCCATACACTCACACCGAGTTTCAAATCACATTTCTACATTGCTGTATACACCAGGAAGGATGTGTAGATGTCTTCACCTGATTCACCTTACCTGAATCTTCCAACTACAATATCTGAGGCAACCAGGACAGTGCACAGTATTCCAAATGCAAGTTTCGCCACAGTTTGTATAATGGCATTATATGATACCGGCAGTTTTGTTTTCTGTTCCTTTCCTAACGACCCCTGGCGTGGAATCTGTTTTTCTTCAGAGCCGCCACTGGGTTGACATCTTCTATCCACTTACAACCCCAAGGTCTCATTCCTGATCAATCACTTCCAGTTCAGACCCGATAAGCATATATGTGAAATAAATAGAGGTCTGATACGCTGTTTCGCATTCACACCTCATTCCCTTGCCACCATTGCAGATCATCTGACAGGTCGGCAGACTGAACTGCTTAACTGCTTTGTACTGAGTTGAAAAGGATCCAAAAGGCAGCAGTCTGATTGGTCCTAGAACAATAGGATCCAAAATGCAGCAGTCTGATTGGTCCTAGAACAATAGGGTTCAGAATGCTGTAGTCTGATTGGTCCTAGAACAATGCAGCAGTATGACTGGTCTGCAGGAGCCACCCAATCCAGCTCCAGATGTAAGTGAATCCACAACCTGATTGGCCTACAGGAGAATTCCGGAATTAGCCAATCACGTGCAGCCCATTGTGTAAATAATGTATATAAAGCAGATACTTTGGGGAAACTTTCATTCCTCCTCCCACTATGAGCTGAATAAAGAGCATGAAATCCACTCTCAACTCCGAGTATATTTCATGCTTCCTGCAGGGATTGGCTTGATTACCTCATGGGGCACTAGTGGATGTGGCTGATCCAGTGCTTAAGGGCTCTCCTGCCCAATGCCAGGGGAGGAAATCTGTTTCCTGCTTTCTGCAAGGATCCGCTGCTCACATGAGCATGCAGCCAATCCAGTGGGCAAACCCTCTCCCACCCAATATCAAATAGAAGAGAGGAGGGTCCCAGTGGATCCACAAAGGTTCCTCTTCCCACTCCCACATGAACATCCCACGAGGAGCAGCCCAACCAGCAGACAAAGCTTCACCCACCCAATAGCTGATAGGAGACTCACAGCAGATGAACATAGCTGTCAACCGTCCCTTATTTGGTGGGAAACTCCCTTATCCCAGCGCCGTGTCCCACTGCTGTCCCTTATTGATGATGTCCCTTAAATTTCCCGGGTTTCAAAGGAAGCAGCTCCTCTCCCTCCCTCCCTGCCGGCCAGGGAGGAGGGAGGCTCCAACTGTGTTGCTTGGCTGCATTGCTCACCCAATAAGGAGTCTAAGAACGACTGGGGGGTGGAGCTTGCATGCCTTGTGCCGATCAAATCAGCCATGTTGCCTGGGGACTTGCCTTTGCTCAGCGCTTCCCAGCGGAGAGGTGACAGTGGTTTTCCTTGCTGCATCCCCTTTGCCGGGTTGAGGCTTTGCTTGGCTGCTGGCTGGGCTTTCTGCCTTTGCCTCGGAGGGGCTCAGAAGTTGAACATACCTGTGCCCAGAAAATCCCTTATTTTGGCTGCTGATCCCTTATTTTCGAGGCTGCTGGCCCCTTATTTTCAAATCTGTAAGTTGACAGCTATGCGGATGAAGCATGATCTCCATTCTCTTATGAACACCAGAATTGATTCCAGAACAGGATACTGAACAACAGAGCTACAAAGCGTCCATCCTTGGGATTGGAGTGATTATGAAAGGGTCTTTTTTAAACTTTTCAGATTTCACCTGCACATTTACTTTGGAAAGTGAGTGTGTTAGCAGTGAAGGAGGGCGGCATTGTATGGACCACGCTGATTAAATTGAGACAGAGGCAACTTCAATTACACGTTGCACCTTGGGGTGGACAAGCCTAGACTTGGGTGGAAAGATTGCTCAGAGCAACTCAGAATTATTTTTTTAAAAAAATCAAGATGAACCTTGAGACCTCTGCACACACCTAATAAATAGCATCTTTGCATTTTGCAGAATTAAAATCCATTTCCTCCCTTCTCAGATGTATGGAATACTAAAATAAATACAATATATATCATATAACTTACGTACAACTCCCAAAATAACTGTCATAACGTTTTCTTCAACGTATTAACCACCAAACCTGAAAACACCTGCTGTATCTGCAACAAATGTGCACCAGCCAGGGTGCCGCCAAGTGTAGTACATATTACACCAATTCTTAAAGGTCTGCAGTGTTTGTCTTTGTGCTTCCAAGCTCAATTCAAGTGCTTACAGAGACATATAAAGCCCCAAACAACTTAGACCCCAAATATCTCAAAGAATGCTTCCTCCTACATTGCAACATGGTGATTCTACCACCTTGTGTAAGGCAGGACCTTCTTTGTGGTGGCCCTCAATGTTGTGGAATGTGCTCTCTAAGGTGTGTCTCGTCCTGTCATTAAATATGTTTTGTTGGCAGACCAAGATGCACCTTTTTGCACGGACTTTGGGTGGTGGAGAATTGAGAGAATCACTCGCTCTGAAATGTGGCTGCTTGTTTGGTTTGTTTCATGATATGGTGTAACCAGGGCTTATTTTCATCCGGCGCTCACCGGAACTCAGTTCTGACATCTCTCAGGTGGGCACCATTTCCATTCTAAGAGAACGAAGGTGTTCTGGCACCTCTTTTTCTATAAAAATAGTACTGGGTGTAAATGATCATTTAGAGTTGTTGTGCACTATGTGGCTTACTTGCATTTTAGCCAGGCACAGGCAAACTCAGCCCTTCAGATGTTTTGGGACTACAACTCCCATCATCCCTAGCTAACAGGAAAAGTGGTCAGGGATGATGGGAATTGTAGTCTCAAAACATCTGGAGGGACAAGTTTGCCTATGCCTGATATTAGCTGTATGTAACTCAACTTGGGAATGCGGGTGGCACTGTGGGTTAAACCACAGAGCCTAGGGCTTGCTGATCAGAAGGTCGGCGGTTCGAATCCCTGCGACAGGGTTAGCTCCCGTTGCTTGGTCCCAGCTCCTGCCAACCTAGCAGTTCGAAAGCACGAAATGCAAGTAGATAAATAGGTACCGCTCCGGCGGGAAGGTAAATGGTGTTTCCGTGCGCTGCTCTGGTTCGCCAGAAACGGCTTAGTCATGCTGGCCACATGACCCAGAAGCTGTATGCTGGCTCCCTCGGCCAATAAAGCGAGATGAGCACCGCAAGCCCAGAGTCGGCCACGACTGGACCTAATGGTCAGGGGTCCCTTTACCTTTAACCCAACTTGAGACTGCATGGTAAAGAGCAGGTTATAAATACAAAGGGAGCTATGAACTACCAAATGTTGGGAGGGCACTAACTGTTGATTACCAACATTTGTACTCCAGTGTGTGAAAGATGTGTAATGAATATATATTTTAAGCAATTGTTAATTAATGATTTGTTTGATTGGATTTATCTCATTTCTATGCTTCTTTTCATTCCAATGAATCTCAAATCATATGATAAAAAACAATAACATAATAAAACATAAAGAACCTCACAAATATAGCATGAATCATATAAAGTAATTAACAACTCATCAATGAAACAATCACAGTTTATAAAACCCTATTAACAAAACGGCAACTTAAAAAATAAGCTATACATCACAATTGCAGCAAAGGTTATACGGTTAACAAATCAGTGTGGCATTTATAATCTATAAAACAATATTAACATGAGCAGAAGAGCAACTAAAAAAATAAGCTAAGCACTGTTAAGTTCATACACATGTTCACAACTAATGAGATAGAATAAAGTACTAGTGAGTAACTAGCAACTAGTGAGATAGAATAAAGTAGTTTTTTTAACAGCGAAAACAGCAGAGCTGTGGCAAGATGTCGTTTCTTACGTTTCATGTGCACAGTTGAATGGGTTAGGAATAAATAAGGAAACAGAGAAGACTAGTGTATGCTAAAGCAGGATTGGAAGAGCAGAGGAGGAGGAGTTCAAGCCTCCTCCCACTTCCTAGCTGGGTTATTCTGGGTCACCTCTGGTGCTGTTTCGTAATAAGCAAACTCTTTTTTCTTTTTCATGAAGGCTGCATCAGGCCCACTCAGGGAAGCTGTGTGGGAGAAGCCGCAGCACCCGTTAGCAGACAAGCTGATTTCTTTTCCCTTTTAAAAATCTTTCACAGCTTTGGGAAATAACCCTTTCTAACCTCCCAGAAGAAAAGAAAACGGAGAACTTTGGAATTCCAGGTACGTAAGAGTCCCAGCGTGATATGCCAAAGTGTTTTCTGCAGGAAGTTGAGTGGGAGGGAGGCAGAGATGCCTTCATGAGTGCATGGTGCCTTGATAAAAATAACTGGCGGCAACAGCTTGCTCATCGGTTCTCCTGCACTTTTAGTAAGGTTCGATTTACCCACATCTATATCAAAATGTGTAGCTCTATTGGCGGAGAGACGCAGCGCCAGCTCCAGGATTTTGGCAACCCACAGACTTGGAATTTTCAATGAGCTTCCTTAACTGTAAAAAAGGCAAGCATGGAAGCCATGCATTATCTCACATAAAAAGGTAAAGGGAGCCCTGACCATTAGGTCCAGTCGTGGGGTTGCGGTGCTCATCTCGCTTTATTGGCCAAGGGAGCCGGCGTACAGCTTCCGGGCCATGTGGCCAGCATGACTAAGCGGCTTCTGGCAAAACCAGAGCAGCACACGGAAATGCCGTTTACCTTCCCGCTGGAGCAGTACCTATTTATCCACTTGCACTTTGACGTGCTTTCAAACTGCTAGGTTGGCAGGAGCAGGGACCGAGCAACGGGAGCTCACCCCGTCGCAGGGATTCGAACCGCCGACCTTCTGATTGGAAAGCCCTAGGCTCTGTGGTTTAACCCACAGCGCCACCCGCGTCCCTTATTATCTCACATAGATCCTGACATTTTTGGGAACTCTTCTGCAAAGCGGAAATTATATCACTGTTGAGGTGGAGCAAATGCCCAGACTTGCCACCCCCTGGAGCTAGATCTGGACTGTACCCCCTGCCCTGGCCCCAGACTTAACTTGTGGCCACACAATGAAGCATTCTGTAATAATAAGAGTAGCTGGGGGCTTTTGCAACAGCATCTGACGCACCATCTTTCCCAGCTAGGGGTCCCATTTTCCTCATTGCATGTCGGTACTACCCATTTTAAGGTTGGTGGAAGGGCTCCAGTATACTTCCCAAAATCAATGCGCAAACACATGGGTAGGCAAACTAAGGCCCAGGGGCCGAATCTGGCCCAATCGCCTATTCTAAATCTGGCCCACAGACGGTCTGGGAATCAGCGTGTTTTTACATGAGTAGGATGTGTCCTTTTACTTAAAATGCTTCTCTGGGTTGTTTTTGGGGCCTGCTTGGTGTTTTTACATGAGTAGAATGTGTGATTTTATTTAAAATGCATCTCTGGGTTATTTGTGGGGCATAGGAATGCGTTCATTTTTCCCCTTCAAAATATAGTCCGGCCTCCCACAAGGTCTGAGGGACAGTGGACCAGCCCACTGCTGAAAAAGTTTGCTGACCCCTGTGCAAAGACATAAAGAATTCTGAACACTATGGAGAAACCCCAAGAAATGTTGTTTGGTGACTGTTAACTGTGTGAGAAAATACCATGTCTGCGAAGAGATTAAAATTATCACAAGGACATCATGGGACCAGCACAAGCAAGATCTTGGGTTATTCATTAACTGCTGTTCCATTGTTGCCGTGAACAAACTGCAAAGATAAATAATTCGATTCTGCTCTTTAGACTCTCTGACTTCTTTAATACACACACACACACACACACAAACAAACAAACACACAGAGTGGTACCTCTGGTTGCGAACGGGATCTGTTCCGGAGGCCCGTTCGCAACATGACAAGAACGCAACCTGCGCATCTGTGCATGTGCGGGTTGCGATTCGCCACTTCTGTGCATGCGCGTGGCGTCATTTTGCGCTTCTGTGCATGTGTGAGCGGCAAAACCCAGAAGTAACCCTTTCTGGTACTTCGGGGTCGCCGCGGGACGTAACCTGAAAGAATGTAACATGAAGCAGACGTAACATGAGGTATGACTGTATTTACTTTCACGTAACGGTTACACAATTACAGAAAATCAAAATGAAAAATGAAACAACTACCATCAGAGAGTCATCCCCAAGTACACCAACAGAGCTTTGCTGAAGTGTATATGCTAAAACCATCACAATCTTAACATTAAATGATGCATAGGAACATCCATTGTTGGCCACAAAGAAAAAGATAGATTGCATCAGCAGCCATTCTGGTATGCAGGGTTTTATACAAAGGCATGAGGAAAGGAGGAAAAAAAAGTGATTAAAATATGTGCTTCATGAATGCCAAACTGCGCTAAAGACCATAGGCACTGTTCTACCATATGCCTCATGGTTTGCATAATCAATAAAGTCATCCCAGATAATAATAATGTAAACTTTAGTTACATTAACTTTTATGCATCTTTAAAACTTTACAGATGGCTAATGAAGAAAAACCATGCCCTTGTGACATTGGAGACAAATTTGAATATGAAGGGCACGGGCAAGAAATTTCTGTTGGGCACATCAAGGCCTACATCAACAAGCCCTCCCACAGCACAGACAAAGCTGTGATTGTGATTCATGACATTTTTGGATGGCAGCTACCAAACACAAGATACATAGCAGATATGCTCGCATCCCATGGATATACGTGAGAAATTGTCTCTATTTTTCTTAGTCTTATCTCTTTCAGTTGACATATTTCTGCATTATGAATTGTGAATGCAAAGTGCAAGCTGATGTAATTGTTCAAAAATACTTTGCTTGACTAAACGTTTTACCTTTAGCTGAAGTAGTAAATGTGTATTATTTATATCCAAGCCACTCTGGGCAGCTTACAGAATATATATAAAACATAATAAAGCACCAAACATTAAAAACTTCCCAATACAGGGCTGCCTTCAGAGGTCTTCTAAAAGTTATGTAGTTCTTAATCTCCTTGACATCTGAAGGGAGGGCGTTCCACAGGGAGGGTGCCACTACTGAGAAGGCCCTCTGCCTTCTGAGAAGGCTCTCTGTCCTATTCTGATTAATAGTATATGTTGGAGACCCACAAGAAATTGCAAGGGGAGCAAGTGAGAATACACATTGGGCCACCCTGATTTACAAATAAAAACAACCTGAAACCTATAATGGAAGAGTTCGCAGCAGCACCACCACCAAAGGCACCAGCTTCTCTTGCTCTGCAGGACACATTCCAGTTTCTCCCTGCTTTCTGGTTACATCACACTGTTTCTCTTAAACTATAACCTCCAACATTAAAAAACTTCCCTATACAGGGCTGCCTTCAGGTGCCTTCTAAAAATCAGATAGTTGTTTATTTCCTTGACATCCGGTGGCATGGTGTTCCATAGGGAGGGTGCCACTACTGAGAAGGCCCTCTGTCTGGTTCCCTGTAACCTCACTTCTCGCAGTGAGGGAATCGCCAGACGGCCCTCAGAGCTGGACCTCATTGTTCAGGCTGAACGATGGAGGTAGAGACGCTCCTTCAGGTATTCTGGGCTGAGGCTGTTTAGGGCTTTAAAGGTCAGCACAAACATTTTGAATTGTGCTCGGAAATGTACTGGGAGCCAATGAAGGTCTTTCAGGACCAGTGTCTCGGCGGCTACTCCCAGTCACCAGTCTAGCTGCCGCATTCTGGATTAGTTGTAGTTGCCTTCTGCCTGATTCCCTGTAATTTCACTTCTCGCAATGAGGGAACAACCAAAAGGCCCTCAGATCTAGATATCAGTGTCCAGACTGGACAATAGAGAGGGAGATCCCCCTTCAGGTATACAAGGCCGAGGCTGTTTCGGGATTTAAAGGTGTATACCAACACGTTGAATTGTGCTCAGAAATGTGCTGGGAGCCAGTGCAGATCCTTTAGGAACAGTGTTATATGGGCACAGTGGCTGTTCCCAGTCTAGCTGTCATATTCTGGATTAGTTGTATTTATACTAGTGCTGTGATATTTGAAAAATGAACTTAAATTTATTTTCTATGCAGAGCAATTTGTCCAGACTTTTATAAGGGACAAGAAGCTTGGAAGCTATCTAATGATTGGTCTGCATTCGATGACTGGCTAAAAACACGAGATTCCAAGAATATCAACAAGTAAGGGCTTAAGTTAATTTCTTTTTTCCTTAAAAAATGTTTAGGGGTACTCTCATTTTCCAACTCATATTGAAATACTGCCCCTCAATGTGGCCAAACTTAGATTCACAAAATGTTTAGGGGTATGTGTACCCCCATGTACCCCCAGATAAAAAGCATTGATTCCTGCTGTGGATTTTTGAGGCTGATGATATGATTGATCAGATTAAACTGTACACGTGGAGAGAGGATTTGCAGATTTTGGCCTGATAAAACTGTTCGGCACCATTGGCTATATATTATCATTTATGGTGGGAATGTAAAGAAGGGCAATATTTTTTGAGTTTTAGCCCTAATATTCTTTACTTGGAGCTTGTTATTTTTTTACCCATATGCAACTGTTCTCATTATTTTATTCTTTATCCGCTTTTAATTCTCATCTGTTCTCATAACAGTTTTCTCTGTTTTATATACATTATAAAATGAGATTTAAAGATCTATACAAAAATACATTGGCCGTGGAATTATCCTCTACCAACCTCTTGGGTTGAGAGTGTTTAAAGGACACTAATCTGTGCTTGTTTTTCCCATGTTCATTGGCTTGCAAAGGTGTCACAACGTTGCACCATTTCCCATGCTGTTTTGCATCTTCACAAAACCACTGCGTGGGACCATCTGTAGATTTGGAATAAAATTATAGCACCCAGCTTTGTCTTTCCATTCCATCAAATCATTGAATGGCAGTTGGATCCTAAGCTACACAGCTGGATTCTGAAATGATACTTTTTTCAAGTGATCGTGAGAACGTATGGGGTACGGCGATTGCCGGAGTTTTGTTTCTTTTGGATGAAGAGAGAGTCCTAAAGTCCTAAAGGAGCTTTGCAATATGTGACTTCATTAAAAAAATATTGACTGTAGGTGGAGTCCAAGAGTTTAAACATTACAAAAAGCAAACCTCTGCCCCAAATCAGATGTCGAAAGAAGCACCCTCCACACATACAAAAAAAAAAGAGCTTTCAACAGGGCAATCTTACCCTCTGCCATTTTCTCTGTTCCATTAAAAAACTGCAGTTTCCCTCACAAAGAGGATAAGGAAGAAACAAATGCCTTTTGCCAATATTATTCTCTCTTTCTAAATGTGTCTCTGGCCTTTTTTTAAGCCTGTGGGCAAATTAACTATAATTTCCCTAACAAAAGACTTTACTGGCAAATTTGCCACTAGTTACAAAGGAAGTTTGCAGCAGTCCTTTGGCCCCATTAAGCCTTTTTTTGTTTATACCCTTAAATTCTCATTGTGCAAATTTGTGAGGGCCCCTTATGTGGGTGTCTTTTCACTGGTGCTTTTTTGTTCACTTATATTTCTGTGCTTTAGGGAAACGGATGTTGTCTTGCAGTATCTGAAGGAACAATGTAATGCAAAGAAGATAGGTGTCATTGGATTTTGTTGGGGTGGAGCTGCAGTACATCATCTGATGTTGAAATATTCTATCTTTAAGGCGGGCGTATCCATCTATGGTATGTGTAGCTACAATAAGAATATTGATATCACTGTGTGCATTAGAAATAATGGCCAGAATATGCTTTTCTTTGCAGCACAATGTTTTTGACACTTGCACCAGGTTTTAGAAAATATATCCCTGTTATACTTTGCACAGAAGCTGTTCACATGCAACTCATATCACTTAATCTGTACTTCCTCATTTGAAATAGTTATGCCTGGTTTTTCATCACCACTCTAAACTTATTCTAGGCTAGCTCAGTGATTCCTTTTTTCCTTTCACTCCACCCTAAAGCAAATCTTTTAGAAGGAGGTTTTATTGGAATATAGCTGCCAGAACAATTGAAGGAACCACAGACCTCTGATTATTATAAGATCCTATTATTTTTCTCTGAAATTACATTCATTCAGTACCTGAAAGGCACCAGAAATCATTTTTGTCTTTTCTTTTGCTCCATATGTGCTGTTAAATGACTGGAATTTTAAGCTATTTTAATCATTCTGAAGATCCCAAGAGATATTTTGGGCATATCCAAGAGCCTGTTTGCTTGGATGAACCTTCTATGTTTAGAGGCAGCATGCCGCTGAATAACAATTGCATGCGAGCAACAATCAAAGATGGATATTACTTCCATGTTCTGCAGATGAGATTTCCAGAGGCACCTGACTGGCTACCTTAAAAAACCAGAATGTTGAACCAGATAGGCTGTTGTTTGATTCAATAGGACTTTCCTTTAATGGACACTCGTCCATTAGAGCATGTGTCAATATTAAAGGTAAACGTAAAGGGACCCCTGACCATTAGGTCCTGTCGTGGCCGACTCTGGGGTTGCGGCGCTCATCTCGCTTTATTGGCCAAGGGAGCCGGTGTACAGCTTCCAGATCATGTGGCCAGCATGACTAAGCCACTTCTGGCGAACCAGAGCAGCGCACAGAAACGCTGTTTACCTTCCCACCATTTACCTTACCTTACCCATTTATCTACTTGCATTTTGACATGCTTTCGAACTGCTAGGTTGGCAGGAGCAGGGACCGAGCAACGGGAGCTCACCCCGTCACGGGGATTCGAACCGCCGACCTTCCAATCGGCAAGTCCTAGGCTCTGTGGTTTAATCCACAGCGCCACCCACGTCCCTTGTGTCAATATTAGGAGCCTATTATTTTGTATAGCTCACCACATATAAACTGGTGCTTAATGTCAGGCTTTGCATGAGCACCAATATGAAAGGATGCATTTTACTAACTTAACCAGATCAAAATATTTCATGGGATGTTGACTTGGAATTTACCTGCAAGTCAAACTTGTCAACATCAATATGACTTTGACCAGTCCTTTTGCTCTTCAAGTCCTTGTCTATATGGGATTCACTTTAAGGAGACAATTGATCCCTGATTTTGAACCTTTGGCAAAATGAAAATATATGAAAGGATTTGCTGGCAAAATGTTAAATATTGCACTCTTACTGAAAGTGTTTGGCGTGCTTCATTTTAATGTAACTTTTATTGTTGAATACATTCTAGGAGTGATCAAATTTACAGAGGACAGTTGCAACCTGATGAACCCCACCTTTTTCATTTTTGCAGAGAAAGATGAAGTAATTCCTCTTGACCAAGTAAGGCATTATTTCAAAAACTGAGTTCCTGAATCAAGAGCAATATTCCTGGTGTATAAATTTTGCTGAAGAAAATGCTTTTTTGGGGGTGGGGAATGGCTTACAATTATCCGAAATCCAGAGTATGTTGGCTATTCTGGCTGGCTGAGTTGATATTTCTCTTGGAGATCTGAAGGTCATACATTTATACCATTTTTTTTGTCTCTGTTCCAAGATGTGACAAGTGAACTCTGGCAATCACATAAAGAAATAAATTATTTCAGTACCAGTAATGTGAGGGTATATTTTTTTGTTGCAGGTCACTGCCCTTGAACAGAAGCTGAAACAGCAATGCAAAGTTGATCATGAAGTGAAAATATATCCTGGACAAACTCATGGTTTTGTACATCGTAAAAGGGAAGATATTAACCCTCAAGACAGACCTTACATTGAAGAAGCAAGGAAGGACATGCTGAATTGGCTGAGTAGATACATCTAACTGTCTATTCATCCAAAAACGCATCATGGAAAAATTAGTGACAAGGATATGCTTTTAAAATTTCCGGAAGGAAACATTTGTAACATTTAACATTAAAATATACCACAGACTTAATCTATTTGCCCCAAAATATCCTTCCTCATGCACACAAATGCGCAAACAGACCCATCTGCTGGTGGTGATAGCAACAGCTACCTGACTTTGCTCCATTCAGCAACCTGTGCCTGAGCAGTTCACTGCTCACTAATCCTCTCCCTTAGGCACTAGGATGCTCAGCTGGTGAACCTCAGGGCAGGAGTAGACTTCAGTGTGTCTGCTGCACTACCCATCTCTCAGCCAGCCAAAGATGAACAACATTTCGCCTGTTGTTTTGCCTCTTCCTAGTCCTGAGTCACTATCACCACTCAACCAAGCCATTGTAGATTTAGCTAGTTAGGGAGGTATCATGAGCTGAGCTACTGCCACTGCTTACAAGTAGACCATGCCCAAGAAGAGAGAAAGTGTGTGAGAGACATACAGTAGCTATTGCAAATGGCAGGTCCTGCTCTTCCCCTACCAGAGTACAGTGCATAGTCCTGAAACATAAAGAAATAACGTTTGGTATAAATTTTCTATGCTGATTCCTCTATTCAATAAAGTTTTAAATTGAATTGCATCATATTTATATTCATTGGGTGCCTAAGGGAATATGTCCATTAGCTGTGGTTAGCAATTGGGGAGAAACTCAGTTCGGTACATATTTTCCTGCAGATTTATCTGATTTATACTTCCCAAAGCAAGATGTGAACCAAATCGCAGCTACCCTTAGAAATTTGCTTCTCCAAATTTTTGCAGCGTGCTTCTGAATGAAGAATTGGGTGGCCATCTGTCATGGATGCTTTAGATGAGATTCCTGCATTGCAGGGGGTTGGACTAGATGACTCTTGGGTCCCTTCCAACTCTATGATTCTTCAGTTCGAAAAGGTGTACATGATGCATACATTAGGGGGAAATGTATATAAAGTGTACAGGCTGAGACCAATTCACATGGGGGTTCCATTCTCAGACCCCACACGAAACAGTGGAGCTTTCATAAGTGCACCCCATTCCGTTATATCTCCATTCCACCCTCTTCCAGGTGCAAAAGGACCAGCACGTCAGTGATCGTGCATGATTTGGATATGCCTAAAATGGTCGCCACCTGTATATAAAAATGAATACAGTGGCACCTCAGGTTAAGAACTTAATTCGTTCTGGAGGTCCGTTCTTAACCTGAAACTGTTCTTAACCTGAGGTACCACTTTAGCTAATGGGGCTGCTGTGCCGCCAAAGCATTATTTCTGTTCTCATCCTGAAGCAAAGTTCTTAACCCGAGGTACTATTTCTGGGTTAGCGGAGTCTGTAACCTGAAGCGTCTAACCTGAAGCGTCTGTAACTGTAACCCGAGGTACCACTGTATAAGTGAAAAGGTGCATTATATTAGGGGAACTTGTTTGAATAAATATATCTTAGACAAAATTGCATACAAAATATGTTTATTAGGATAAAAGATCAAATGCTGATGAGTATTCATGAAAACTTTCTTTAAAAAATGGGAGATATGCAAATGAATGGAGATATATGCAAATAAACATATTATTTTTTTCTTTTGTTATTCAGTACTGTTATGCTGCAGTCTATATATATGATGCAGAAATGTGACAAACAGAATTTAAAGCTATAAAAATGAAACACAGAAATTGATAGCTTTGCACAAAAACCTCAGCACTACAAATATTGTGAGGTGAGGCTGATGAATAAACTTCCCTAGTTACACTTCTTTGGAACTTTTTGAAACCATATTTGGAGCCTTTTGTATAACTAGGAAAGATGCATTCTGGAAACTTGGTAGAATAACAGATAGTCCCTTTCCTGTTTTGATTTTTACAGACCTCTGGCAATACTCATAATTTTGGAAAACCTGGCACTGTTTCCCTTCGTCTTTCTAATCTGTAGCCGACTCTCTCTCCTAACTGCCACCTCATGGTACACCAATTAAATGAATGTCTACAATTTACCTCAGGCTATCTGGTGGCGGGTGTGTGTCTGTGTGTTGTGTGAGGGAATCCGCGATTCAGCCATGAGCTAATCCAACAAGGGAAGTTTTATTTACACACAAAAAAAGAAGTTGGTGAAACGAAGTTGTATCAGGAGACATATTCTTTCAGGTAGAACTAAATTACTTAAACTAAATACAAGGATGTCTCAGGCTTAAACACGGTAGTACAGGCACAGCTTCTCTTTTTAACTCCCTTTACTCAAAATTAGTTGTTACCCTTCAGTTTCTGTTACTCCTTTCTATGTCCTTACGCTTAGTTTGGGCAGGTGCTTCAGGTTTTAACACGGTTTATTAATTGGGTTTGAGAACAGAGGGGTTTCTAGAATAGGTGGTGAAATGCTTGACTCAGTTTCTGCTGCTTCACTCTCGTTCCTTTACTTCGTTATTACAGTGGACTTCTTTTGACACGGCACGGCTTCCTTCACAGCTTAATACTGTTCACGAGTGAGGAGTACTTTTTGTCAAGTTACCCACTCTCTTAGCAAACCCACTCCTGAGGTATTCGGATGAGTATAACAGACCCAGAGGATCGCCTCACCCCTTGTTACCGGCATGGGAGTCTCCTTTACCTAGAAGAACTCTCCCCTCCTGACAGGAATGTGACCCAGGTAGCCTGTATTCCCACAGGTTCTACCTCTCCTCAGACTCAGCCCACTAAGATGGCACAACAGCACTTTTCCCCCTGGCGCTGTTGGGCCTGCCCTCACTTAAATACAGTGATACCTCGGGTTAAGTACTTAATTCGTTCCGGAGGTCCGTACTTAACCTGAAACTGTTCTTAACCTGAAGAACCACTTTAGCTAATGGGGCCTCCTGCTGCCGCCGCGCCGCCGGAGCCCGATTTCTGTTCTTATCCTGAAGCAAAGTTCTTAACCTGAAGCACTATTTCTGGCTTAGTGGAGTGTGTAACCTGAAGCGTATGTAACCTGAAGCATATGTAACCCGAGGTACCACTGTATAGTGCACCCACCTCACAGAACACGAATTCCCACAATCTACCTCAGATTGTCTTGTGGGCAGACTTGTGTCAGGGAAAACTTAATAATCTGGAGTCTCGGGCAGGATTTGATCAAATAAACAATAAAGATTTTATTTAACAAAGGAAGTTTATGACACAAGTGGGTAAAACACAGGATACTATGGCAATCCTCACAGAACTTCTAGCCCAAATGGTTGCCATTAATTTGATTGGAATTAATTTTATAATGAAATGATTTTAGAATGTTTTATCACTTTACTGTTGTTAGCCGCTCTGAGCCCAGCTTCGGCTGGGGAGGACGGGATATAAATAAAATTTATTATTATTATTATTACTTCAGATTATAATGTGTTTCCTCAGTTGTTGCGCAGCTGTTACCGCTTAATACTTTCGTTCTTAAACAAGGTGGTACTTCCTGTCTGTTAGACAACCCTACTCCTGAGGTACTTCAAGTAACAGACCCAAGGGATCTTCTCTTTTTGTAGAAGAATCTCTCCCCTCCTGACTGGAATGAGTCCTAAGTAGACTGTATCCTCACAGCTTTTACTTCTCTTGGCTCAGCCTCAGCCTCCCAGTTAATTACTGGCCTTATTACTCTTACAGGACACCACACACTGTCCTTCGCACTAAGTTCAGAGTCTCCTTTCTCTAGCTTTTGATATATTCCTCAGAGTGGATGTTTCTACCCAGAACCAACTCTCTCTCCTCTCGCTTCCTATCTCCCAATCTATTCTCCCAACCTCAATCCCAACGTACTCCCAAAACTATGAATTTTCTCTCCAAATCCTCTCCTTTTCAACTACCCCTCCTGCTGGAACCCCAGCCAATTGTAAGCTGCCGTCCGCTAACCATTTGCTGGCAGGGAAAAAGAAAAAACCAACTTTTCTGGCACACCCTCCATTTAACTCCTGTCTGTATACCTTCCCCAGACACTCAACTTTCTATCTAAGCTGCAAGGCTCGTTCCTCTTGCTTATCAGTAGTCTCCTCAGCATGGATGTCCAACCCAAATCAGAACCGGTTCTCCCTCAGCCAAACCCAATGTTCACCCCGATCTCCCACCTCAAATCATATCACTCTCCCTCAGAAACGGCTCCTTTTATTCTCCATCCCAAAGTGCTGCTCCATCCCGCTTGGTAGCCAAATCAGAGAGAGGCTGCAGCACTCTGGCAGAGTTTCTGAGGGACTACCGTCTGCTGTCCGCATCATGGACCTTTGGGGCCGAGTTAGCAGAGTATTTCTGAGCTGGCCAAATGGTCCTTGCTTGATCTGGGTACAGTGGTACCTCGGGTTAAGTACTTAATTTGTTCCGGAGGTCCGTTCTTAACCTGAAACTGCCATTAGGAATGTGTTCCACACGATTTCTGTTCTCATCCTGAAGCAAAGTTCTTAACCTGAGGTACTATTTCTGGGTTAGCGGAGTCTGTAACCTGAAGCGTATGTAACCCGAGGAACCACTGTATTCTTGTGCCCTGAAGGAGCAAAGAAAAATGAAACCTACCCATTCCCCTGAGAGGGCCAAGAGGATCAGTTCACAAAAAGGATTACAACTACATGAGAAGACTGAAACAGTGCAAATTCAGAAAGGCCTCTCCTTCTCTGAGTCCTCACCTTCCTATTGTTGCTTTTTATAAAATCCGTGGCCTGGTTCCTTGGTATTGTGTATGTGTGACAGAGTATACCCCATCCTTTGCATATATGAATTAAGGTTTAGTCAGCCGAGGTCGGCTAATTCCTTCACTCCAATTTCTATTCCTCATTTCCAGAGTTACTTTTTTCATGAGGGAGAGAACCTTTCTGTAACATCTGGTTTGCAAATTAAACCTTCAAATTTTGTTTGGCTGTTTATCCTGGCATCCTTGCATCCCCTTTTCACAAAGAACTCTGCATTGTGCATTTCAAACTGGATCAACTTGGCGCACATATAATACAATAGTAATAGTAGTAGTAGTAGTAGTAATAATAATAAAAATTATTATTTATACTCCACCCATCTGGCTGGGCTTCCCCAGCCACTCTGGGCGACTTCCAAAAAAATATTAAAATGCCAATACATTAAAAGCTTCCCTAAACAGGGCTGCCTTCATATGTCTTCTAAAAGTCTGGTAGTTGTTGTTCTCTTTGACATCTGGTGGCAGGGGGTTCCACAGGGCGGGTGCCACTACCGAGAAGGCCCTCTGCCTGGTTCCCTGTAACCTCACTTCTCGCAGTGAGGGAACCACCAGAAGGCCCTTCGTGCTGGACCTCAGCGTCCGGGCAGAACGATGGGAGGAGGAGACGCTCCTTCAGATATACTGGATTGAGGCCATTTAGGGCTTTAAAGGTCAGCACCAACACTTTAAATTGTGCTCGGAAACGTACTGGGAGCCAATGTAGGTCTTTCAAGACCGGTGTTATATGGTCTCGGCGGCCGCTCCCAGTCACCAGTTTAGCTGCTGCGTTCTGGATTAGTTGTAGTTTCCGGGTCATCTTCAAAGGTAGCCCCACATAGAGCGCATTGCAGTAGTCCAAGCGGGAGATAACCAGAGCATGCACCACTCTGGCGAGACAGTCCACAGGCAGATAGGGTCTTAGCCTGCATACCAGATGGAGCTGGTAAA